GGGGCAATGTTTAAAAAAAACTAGATCAAACTAGTTATCTATATATATAAAATTCAAAGGTGATTGACTGACTGACTGACTGACGTAGTGATCTATCAACGCACAGCCCAAACCGCTGGACAGATTGGGCTAAAATTTGGAATAAAAATAGATGTTATGACGTAGGCATCCGCTAAGAAAGGATTTTGATAATTTCCACCCCCAGGGGGGTAAAAAAGGGGATTAAAGTTTGTATGAAACTTTGTCAGTTTTTAACTGATCGGGTTGAAATTTGGCATGCAGATAGATGTTATGACGTAAACATCCACTGTGAAAGGATTTTGATAATTTCCACCCCCAAGGGGGTAAAATAGGGGATAAAAGTTTGTATGAGACTTTGTCAGTTTTAAACCGATCGGGTTGTAATTTGGCATGCAGATAGATGTTATGACGTAAGCATCAGCTGTGAAAGGATTTTGATAATTTCCACACCCAAGGGGGTAAAATAGGGGATGAAAGTTTGTATGAGACTTTGTCAGTTTTAAACCGATCGGGTTGAAATTTGGCATGCAGATAGATGTTATGAAGTAAGCATCTGCTTTGAAAGGATTTTGATAATTTCTACCCCCAAGGGGGTAAAATAGGGGATGAAAGTTTGTATAAGACATTGTCAGTTTTAAACCGATCGGGTTGAAATTTGGCATGCAGATAGATGTTATGACGTAGGCATCCGCTGTGAAAGGATTTTGATAATTTCCACCCCCAAGGGGTAAAATAAGGGATGAAAGTTTGTATGAGACTTTGTCAGTTTTAAACTGATCGGGTTGAAATTTGGCATGCAGATAGATGTTATGACGTAAGCATCCGCTTTGAAAGGATTTTGATAATTTCCACCCCCAAGGGGGTAAAATAGGGGATGAAAGTTTGTATGAGACTGTCAGTTTTAAATCGATCGGGTGGAAATTTGACATGCAGATAGATGTTATGACGTAGGCATCCGCTGTGAAAGGATTTTGATAATTTCCACCCCCAAGGGGGTAAAATAGGGGATGAAAGTTTGTATAAGACTTTGTCAGTTTTAAATCTATCGAATTGAAATTTGACATGCAGATAGATGTTATCACATAAGCATACGCTAAGAAAGGATTTTGATCATTTCCACCCCTAAGGGGGTAAAATAGGGGGTGAAAGTTTATATGAAGCTTTGTCAGTTTTACACCGATGCAGATGAAATTCGGCATGCAGGTAGATGTTATGACGTAGGCATCCGCTGTGAAAGGATGTTGATAATTTCCACCCCCAAGGGGGTAAAATAGGGGATGGAAGTTTGTATAAGACTTTGTCAGTTTTAAATCGATCGAATTGAAATTTGACATGCAGATAGATGTTATCACATAGGCATCCGCTAAGAAAGGATTTTGATCATTTCCACCCCTAAGGGGGTAAGATATGGGGTGAAAGTTTATATGAAGCTTTGTCAGTTTTACACCGATGCAGATGAAATTCGGCATGCAGGTAGATGTTATGACGTAGGCATCCCCAAGTAAGGTTTTTGATTATTTCCACTTCCAATGGGGTAATGTAGGGGATTAACGTTTGTATGAAGCTTTGTCAGTTTTACACCGATCGGGTTGAAATTCGGCGTGCAGATGGATATTATGACGTAAACGTCCCTTTAGAAAGGTTTTTGAACATTCTCACCCCAAAGTGGGTAAAATAGGGGTGAAAGTTTGTATGATACTTTGCCAGTTTTAAATTGATCGGGCTGAGACTTTGCATGCATAAAGTTGCTATGACATAGGTATCTCCTTAGAAAGGATTTTGATAAATTCCACCCCTAAGGGGATAAAATAGGGAATGAGAGTTTGTATAAATCTTCTTAGCCATTGAATTTAGAATCATTGATTCTTTTAGAATTAAATTCGGTAAAACGATGATTTGGGACCTGGGTAACGTTTGATAGTTTTTTCACAGATGTCTCACGAGAACGGGAACTATGCGTCAATGCCCCAGGACTCTCTAACTCTTAACCACTGAACTTATTCTACTTAGAGAGATTCGGTACAACAATAGTCGATAGAATAGTTTTTATTACTCAAGTACCTTACGTGATCGGGCACTGTACTGGTAAGATCCCTGCGGGATTATTTATTTATTGAAACTACGATAAAACATTTCAAAATAGGTAAATCTCACTTGGGCACTGAATTGATTATGATTAATTCTGTCAGAAGTCATATTAATCTACGCGGACGAAGTCGCGGGCAACAGCTAGTTCAATATAAAGATGGGTTTCTTAGGATCTAAGTAAGAATATCTAATCAGAAATTTCTTAAATTATTAAATGACTTCAAAAAGGACGTTTTCACTTTGACTTATTTGTATAAACATACTCGTGCGCGATTATCTCGTGATAGGCTGAACCGGTTTAATGCAAATTTCAGAAAAGTGTTAGTTATTCAGTAGTAGGTTTTATGCCGGAATACTGAAACGTTACTCAATTTTAAGTCGTGTTCAAATATCGTGCCATCTCTGTCATTTTACAAAGAATCTGTAGAGATAGAACTATACTTAAGCTCGACTTAAAATTGAGTAGCATTTCAGTATTCCGACATTAGTATATTAAACTACCGTCTCCGAAAAAAGAGGATATTCTAGTCGGATTTTTTTAAACGTACTTTATATAAAAAAGTAATTATTACCACCTTGATCGTAATTAAATGAAAATTACCAATTAAAAGTAGCTATCACCTTATATAAGTATTTTATAAATGAATTAACATCACACCTTTTATCCCCGAAGGCGTAGGCAAAGGTGCACATTATGCCACTGTACAATGTTACACACACTTATCACTATTTATTTTACAAGTTCCATGTAGTAGGGATATATTATAAATGAAAATCATTCAATAAGTTTGTGTAGAATTGAAATAAAGTAACATTTTAAAAGGAAACTCGACCAAGAGACAAATAAATCTTCTTTCTAACAATAAAGTTGACATGTCAGACGTTTTCTTCTTCATTTCACCCTTTACCTCGTTCGTAACTTGGTACTTACTATTTTCAAAGAAACTTTAGCGCTACTGTAAGCTCTCAATTTTGTATGTTAAATATATCAATGTCTATAAAAAATAAGTAGGTATCATAAAAATACTTTTAACATAAATATTCGTCCAGAAAATATGCTCGTGACTCGTAATATATTTACATATTTGTTTTAACAATGAAATACACGTGATAACTATAGTGTGGAAGTTAATAATAATTGAAATATAACTTATTTGTGCGTCATACGAATTTTCACTATTTATGTTATGAGTCCCATGTTATAATAGGGGTGAGCCTATTGCCATATACCGGGCGCAATTGTAGGCTCCGTGCTACTACTGAGATTTTTTTTAAAACCCAGTAATACTTTGCCCAACCCGGGAATCGAACCCGAGACCCCTTGCCCGGATGTCCGGCAGTCGCACTTGCGACCACTCGGCCAACGATGCAGTCATTGGCCAAGTATTTCACTATTTTTGTTATCTGTAGAAAATGAACCCGAGACCCCCTTCCCGGCAGTCGCACTTGCGACCACTCGGCTAACGAGGCAGTCGGCCACGTGGATGTTACATTGTACAGTGGCATTAAGTGGCACCTCTGCCTACCCCTTGGGGGATAAAAGGCGTGATATTTATACATATACATAACTCTTCGACCAAGACGTGGTCAAAAAACTAACTTGAATTTGACGAAAACCAATTTTTTTAACTTTCTCGCTTTTACTCCTAGCCCAAAAATAATTCTAAAACTAGGAAGGCCAAATTGAATTACGCAATGAGATTACTACAATATGTCTTGGGTACAAGGGTACAATAAATGTACCCTTTCTTCTCAAGATTACTTGGTTTCTGGGATATTTGCATATTCTCCTGCGTTATCCATCTTATAACAATACCTTGCTGGCTCTCAGGAAACTAAGTGCATGTATATTTTACCTCCGAAGGTAACGTTATTAACTATCTAGAAACTTAAGCACTAAAGATATATATTCATTCATGTACCTACGGTGATTTTATAACTAATCATAATATTATTTTAGGGAACAGAGAGTGTAGTTCCCTAAGATCGGAAAAGGAGGATCCTCCGACCAGGCAAGGTGATCATGCCTGGCGGACTTTCTGCCCCACAGTTGTTCGTTGGGATTTTCTATTCGTGTTTATTCGCTTGTAAACTTTGCATGTGCGATGTAGGATTCTTGTGACGTCATCCGTTAACATGTGACATGTGTCGCCACACTTATATAACTTATAAATTACTACTACTAAACTACTTTTATTAAAAAACCGACTTCAACCCTCTCTTTTTTTAAAATCAGTTAATTAATATTCTAAACCCTTCTCCCAAGTATAACAAACGCTTTTCTGAAAACCGTGTCAAAATCGGTTCAGCTAATCGCGAGATAATCGCGCACAATCATACATACATACATACATACTGGTCAAACTATGAACCTCGGTTTGGAGGTCGGTTAATAAATAGTTTACACCATAAGCGTATCATTATAACTTTTTAGCTATTTTTGTAGCAATAAACCATGTACAGTTTGTACTGTATCGACTTTTCAGCGAATACCTAATTTATACAAAGTTAAAGTCAAAGCATTTAACCATAATTTGAAACTTTTGAAACTTTTGAAATGTCAAAAAATACCTACAAAATAAATAATAGTCTGTCAGTCAGTCTGTCAATGAAGCTAGGTGAAGCTAGGTGCTCATTCCAAAATGTGGATTTGAATGGAGAAGAACAAACAAGAAACACCATATTATTATGTTACTCTTTTACAGAGTAGGTCATTTTGTAGACATGTAAAAGAAATTATTTTCTGAACCTTGTACCCAAGCTACTACCACTGTCGTACAGTTAAGTATAGAATAAGGAGATCAGACAACATTTTATTTTAAAACTACGAAATAAGACTGATATTACGCTATTTTAATGTTCTTACAATAATACTCGAATGTTTGTTTCAGTGCCCACACTTCAAAGCGCATAGCCAAAGTAATAATAGTAGTGATATGGTTCCTAGCACTATCACTGGCAGCTCCAATGGCTATGTCTTGGGAAGTCATCATGGCTGATGAAGTGGATCCAGGTATGTCCATAATTCAAAGTAAGATTTAGTTTAAAATGAAATGAAAAATTATTACAGTAGGTACCATTATAAAAGTGGTTGGTCACTTTAGACAGCATGTTGCGGTAAATAAAACATAACTAAGGTAGAAAAAGGTTTAGGCTTCACGTCACTTGTGACCGCAACAAAATCCTTTTTATGACGTGCATGCTATTTTCAGCCCTATGACGATCAAGCAAAACGATAACACAGTAATTTCTGTATGACAACAGTAAAAGTATTAGTTAGGTAAATCCATTTGTAACTAGTTTCCCCTTCTATTCATGTTCTACGTTAATTAACGAAACGAACACCCTTTCAATATTGGTTCAAGTTAAATAACGCGTGTTGTACAAAAATAAAATGAAGGCTAGTAGGCCCGGCTATTCGATTAAAACTTTCAATTAAACTGGTTTGTAGAACTCTGGTTACGGCACCACTAATCAAAGGGCAAAATGATTTATTTTCAGTGTGTAACTCAGGAATCAATATAATTGCTGTTACGCAGAATTGTACCTAACAAGTTAACTGTCCTTTCCACGAATTCGTGAGCAACAAATATAGGTGTTGTTTATATTTCAATTGCCATCTAAACCATTTGAATTTGTGTTAATACTTTTTTTTGTCATATAACTAAAATTAAGGAAGGTTTTCCAAAGTTTTGTCTTAACCCTAACTGTACGTTTTAACTGATTGCGATAATTAAAATAAAAGTTGGCCATAGTTTGCATTTAGTGCTTAGGTTACTGCTACCTATGTCTCCACTTAGTTTATGCGCAAAAAAGCATAGAATTGAGTGGCTTTGGCATCAAGTGTCTTTCATCATCAAGTGAACATACCTTACCTTATAGGTCGGCCTAACCTAATCCCGAAGCGATTACCGGTAACTGCTCTCCGCTTTTTCCATAACAGACCTTATTTCCGATTTTAAGAGACTACTTTTGTATGAACAAATTTTGTGGATTTTTCAGAATCGTGGATTAAAATGTTAATTCAGTAAAATAATTTCCACAATATTTCTACAAATATGGAGATTGTATAAATAAACTGTATCTTTCTTTGCAGATACGAAACATTATTACAAGAAGCCGTTCTGTGCTCCCACCGAGTTCGGTTCACATTCGCTGGCTATTTACAGATTGTTACTATACGTTTTCCAGGTGAGTTAAACCGATACCCCATGTTTATATGCTTCTTGTTTGTTTTTTTATTCCATTCGTTTTCATTTTCATGACTTTTGTAGGAATATATTCATTTATGTTGTTGTTATTGCGTATAAGGAAGCTTTAAATAGACGTTTTGATTTTATTTTCTGAAACGATATGGGTTGAAATAAAGACACTTAACTTTTTATTATCATTTTGTATCACCATTTATTATGTAAAGAGAGAAACTAATACAATTGTTAAAAACTGGATATAATTCAAGAATTTGAATTTATATAATTTTAAAAAGGCTTGGACCCCACTATGGTTTCCTCCTGTGCCGTAGGTGCGTTTTTAAACATACAAGTTACATATACATGACACCTAGACCCGGAACAATTCCCTGTGGATCACACAAAGAGTCGTTCCGTGCGTGCCAACCGTGCACCCTACCACCCACCACCTATATTCTAAAGCTTGCTTGATAGTTTGTCTAAGTCGTAAAATTTATTCAAAATCTCGACACTGTCTTATAGCACATGTTCATCAAAATTACACAAAATGCTATATTACATCAGCATATATTCCACCTATGCAGGCGTAGGTACTTTTATTACAAATACCTATATGTAATTAAATAAAACGAAATTTTAAGTTGTCATCAACTGAACAATGAAAGTCAGTTCGGCTTTATGACATACAGCCCAAATATCTTTCTTAACGTCTCATTAAATGTTATGATGTGAGCAAAGGAAATCATAACAAACGCACTCATTTGAACGTTTTTCTTTTTATTTCTTGATCTGCATGTTTATATTCAACGTTCTGGCTTTCTGGAAACAATAAAGTAAATGAAAGAAAATAAAAAAAGTTCAATTATGATTCAGTCTTTATTGCATATTGTCATCTGCATTATGCTGCATATTTTTTTAGGATATGAAAATGGAATTGCTTGCTTATTTTTCTCTATGGAACATACTAACTTCATTGATAAAGAAACTGATGGTGAATTCAACTATGGTGTGCCAAAAGTTGATCGAATGTTCTTCTGACAGCGGCTTCGCCCGCGTTCCCGTGTCTCCCCGTGTTCCAAATTTCATCTCGATCCCTTTAGCCTTTTTAACGTGAAAAAATAACACATACATAACTACATCCTCACAGATTTTCACATTTGTTATATAGTAACAGGATTAAATTAATTTAAATAAATTTTGACTTTGACTCATGTCATACTTGCTATTTGGACGAAGACGGACCCTTTGGTTTAGGGCATAATATGAAACGTTAATTATTATGAATATCTCGATATATGAAAAACATGAATGACCTATATGAACCTATAATAAAAACAAAACATCTATTATTCAATGAGATAAAGTTTACCTAATGATTATGTTACGCCCACGCTTCACCTGTTTTTTTCCTAATTTATTTTAGAACTAACCTACTTATTGCCACACACACTTCTACTTGATGAATAAAGAATAGATTCCAAGAATTTTCAAGACTGTACAATTCAAATTCTCAACCATATTTATCTTGACCTAGAATATGAAATTGAGATCTCATTTCACATCTTCTGTGTTGTAATGTACTTTTTCATCTCGCATTATATCAATATGAATATTAATAAATAATGTATAAACCCAATACCTATTGTTACCTTTGTTATTTCTTAATAAGTACTATGTATGTAGACGCTGTTGGTATACCTATTTAAATAAATAAATAAATAATTTAATAAAACAGATAGCGTTCAAAATGCGATTATAAAAGACAAAAATATAATATATTCAACGTAAAATTATTCACTGTCAGCATACAATTTATGCATGCGTACTTTCAAGCATCCATATTTAATAAGTCATTGTATAAGGCTTCAGTTACGCATAACCAGTTTATCAAAGTCTCGCTCGAAAGACCTCCCCGAATATTTGACGGTCGTTTTATACTGGTTTCGCATAGTTTGTTGTGTAACCCTGTGTTCATCGGCTGAAATTTGTGCCAGCGACGATAAAATTAAATGCCATCAGTTCTCATCTATATGTTTGTTTACTTTGCTTTTAGTATGTAATCCCGTTGTGTGTGATTACATTTGCGTACGCGCACATGGCCATGAAGCTGTGGGGTGCGCGCGCGCCGGGAAACGCGCAAGAGACGCGTGACGCTAACCACATGAGGAATAAAAAGAAGGTGAGTATTTTCACTTTGGTCTTTTAATTGTTAAGTATATCAAATTTATGGTAATCTTACCTTTAACCCTTATGTGAGTGACGAGGTACCCGGGTACCTTTGGCATTTTCAAATTTAACGAAAAGTATGTTTTACGCTCTGTAGGTAGCTGTGATTTCTTGAGAGCTCTTAACTATTTATAAATTATATATTTTTTGATGTTTTGACCCAGTCAACTATTTACAACATTTTGTGGAAACTAAAACATATTTTAAACTTACAATAGAGTGACAAGGTACCCGGGTACCTCTTTGTGTTTTGTATGAAAATGAAAAAAAGTATTTCTAATTTCGTGCAAAAATGAAATAAGAATCGTTTATTATAATGTTTTATTTCTATAAAAATACAAATTATTTGTTTATGCATTACGTCTACATTACGTCTAAACTGTATGAAGGTACCCGGGTACCTCGTCACTCTAATAAAGGTGTTTTATTTGTCACTCACATAAGGGTTAAGGTCATCTTTATAAAGGTAACCCATCTGGGTTCGACTTTTGTTGCCGAGACAAAATGTATAAAACCTAACTTTCCATAGATAACTTAGGACAATGCCTTTTTCGATGAATAAGGATATAGACTATACAACCCGTGAGAGTCTGCTATTGGACTATACAATATACTCCAGTAGCTGTTAAATAAAGTACCTATTACATTTAATATGAAGAAGCCTCGGAAAAATAGAGCAAGATAGTTTAATGTAAATAACTTTCATGACTGTAATTTATATCAAAGTTCCATTACAAGCAAATTGCAACAAAATGCTAGCAGCATATTATAGAGGAACCTCGTGAATTATACATGAAACGTTTTCAATCAGATAAGTAGACCTGCCTCGTACCTGAATTAAAGCTAAAAGCAAACTTAAAAGCAGGCTAGCCACTGGGTTCAACACTCATTGATCAATCTAGACATCAACTTGAAATATTAGATATTGAAATTGAAATTAATTGAATGCTCTGTAACTTTATTTGGATAGCTATAATAATGGGTAGATATTATTTTTGTATGACGCATTACATGCGAACATGACTGCCAAGGAGTCCTAAGCTGGCGATACTTCTAGTTTTAAAATTGAGATGGTGACAGGGTATGAAAAATAAAAATCTAATTAGTCCATCAGTTAGATAATGAAAAAAAATAGACACATATTTTTTTTATTTTGTCGTATAATAAAACAATACTTAGATAAAACGAATCAAAGTTTAGGAGTGGGGGTTAAAATGTCATTTCTACGTATAAAATGTATGTACATAGAAGTGACGTCACGCGACATTTCAAATCAATATATCGTCGAAAGTATTCGTTTCTGTAAGAAAATAAAAAATACGTGTCTAATGATTTGAAATAATCTACCAGACGGACATTAAAATACAAATTAGGTATCTACCGTATTGAAGTTCTTAATCAATATGGAGTTAGGAATTATTTCAGGCTATATAAATGGCCCTATTCTTATAACATGGGAATCGTAATTGACTAAAAAATGATTGATCGTTTGCAATAAACAAACAAAAAGAATACCCCGTTAGTATAAAGAATAGAATAAGCCGTTACTTTGCGGAAATTCATACTACACTAATAACTGGGAATATATTTCGTTTTTATTCCACCGAAGAAATGATTTTGCTGCATGCAGTACGCAGCAGGGCTCCCACCCGCAGATAAACGCTCATGCAGAAGATATGCGACACAAATCACACACATGACACGCAACAAACCACACTCGACATGTGTTTCGTTCCTCTAAGGGGCAGGAGATGTTGTCAATATTAAATTACACAATAAATTCACTCCTTCAGCGAAATAAAAACTAAATATTTTCCCAGTTGACTGCCTCGTTGGCCGAGTGGTCGCAAGTGCAACTTGCCGGGCAAGGGGTTTCGGATTCGACTCCCGGTCGGGCAGAGTATTACTGGGTTTTTAAAAAATCTCAGTAGTAGCACGGAGTCTGGAAATGTGCCCGGTATATGGCAATAGGCTCACCCCCTATTACATGGGGCTTATAACATAAATAGTGAAAAGTGGGTGTTACACTGCACAGTGGCATTAAGTGCCGAAATGTGCACCTCTGCCTACCCCTTCGGGGATAAAAAAGGCGTGATGTTATGTATTTTCCAGTTGTCAGTGTACCCCTTAGTTTTATTGTACCAACAAATATACAGGTAAAAATACAGTTGGAACGTCAGATCCACTAGTAAGATAAACATCAATACCAATTTACCGTGTAGATAGTGACAAATAACGACAAACGTAGAGTACCCTATTTCCTCTATTTACATTTTACAACTTCCGTAAAAGCGATAGCTACCTACTGGTGATATATGAACTACTTTTCTTCATATTCTGGAGCGGTAGTTTAGAATTGCAATAATTATAAAATTTAAACACCAATTTTGGATCGAGTAACTGCAAACACGACGGCAAATCAAGGTGTCAATGATGACGTCATGATTTTAATTCCTGAACACACATAGCCAGAAAGTAACATCCATTCCACTAGTTACTTAGTGTTGTTACTAAGATTTTTCCGACTCGGGAATTGAACTTCGAGACTGAAAGCCGCGCTTGCAACTACTCGATCAAACAGGCAGTAAAAACCTTTATAAATGTTTAAAAAACATTGAAGGGACCTATTGTCCTTATCGAAAGCTTGATAACATAAAATAGCAATCTATCATCGCTATCACAATGAACTTCTTAAGGCTGATCACTTCAGCTCACCAGCTTTCCCTAAAGAGATATTAGATACAGAAATAGCGTTCTATTTTCGTTCTAACAGATGGTTAGCCAATTTAAATCCATCTGGTGCAAATTGAATGCAATCTAAATTTATGTAAATAAACACGTTTGAATATTAGCTAGTTAAACCACATGTTACATTGGCATTCTAATGTAATTGCTTGAAGGGAGTATAGGTAATAATGTCTAGCTTGGTCTTCTTACCTTTAATTTTGTGATTTCGAAAATGTAACATAGCTTATACTGCCTCGTTGGCCGAGTGGTCGAAAAGGGGTCTCGGGTTCGATTCCCGGGTCGGGCAAAGTACTACTGGGTTTTTAAAAAAATCTCAGTAGGAGCACGAAGTTTAGAATTGTGCCCGGTATATGGCAATAGGTTCACCTCTTATTACATGGGACTTAACAGTAATAGTGAAAAGTGGGTGTTACACTGCACAGTGGCATAATGTGCACCTCTGCTTACCCCTTCGAGGATAAAAGGCGTGATGTTATGTATCATAGTTTATTATTTAATTTTTTGGTAGGTATTTTATTCTGCTATGAATACCTAATAATAACATTTCATTTAACAGAGAGTGTGTTAAGCTATCTGAATAGTGTAACTTTAGGTAGCTTTGTTCTTTTTTTTTTTGATAATTGATGGACTGACGTTTGAGCACTATCTTGCCAGGTGGCGATGCTGTGGTTTAGGATGGAGCACGTCGTCCCATAAGCAAACAACTTTAAATGCTTAACTAAAACCGTTTGCAACTAAATAATAATCATAAAACTTAAATATCGTCCACAGTTTTCTGTATAACTGAAAAACACTGACCTACAGACTTCTCAAACATTTAGCGATTAATCAATTAATTAATTAAACAAAACAAGAGTCAAGATGGCCTACATTAAACTGAACATACGGAAGATTTCACACGCAATTACCTTTCGTAATTAATCGATTAATTATCCTCATTCAAAGCAATTAAGTCGAGCTGATACTGTGGAACTTGAAATGTGTCAGTGTGACATTATTTTCCGATACTTTATGACGTCGGAGCTGGTCTGACGTAAAACGTAGTTCAAATACAAACGTTGTGCGAGAGCCAGTGTAGGTTTGTAGATATTTGTGCTGATGTCATGTTCAACTGTATTGTCTATCTTTAGATGAGAAAGTTGAAAAATATCGTTTATTTAAAGATAGTGATATTTTAGTCGGCTGTTTTGCCGATCAAAATCATACCTATACTTGGAATAGATGCCTTAGTACGAGTTTAATTTACGTTTAAAGTAGTCGACACGAGTACGCGTTCGGCACTGTGATTGGCCGGCGCCAATGAACCTTTAGGGAACAGAGAGTATAGTTCCCTAAGATCGGAAAAGGAGGATCCTCCGACCAAGCGAGGTGATCGTGCCTGGCGGGCTTTCTGCCCAACAGTTGTTCGTTGGGATATTCTATCCGTGTTTATTCGCTTGTAAACTTTGCATGTGCGATGTAGGATTCTTGTGACGTCATCCGTTGACATGTGACATGCTTCGCCACAAACCAACTAATCAGAGTGCCAAGCACGAATAACTATCGCATTCGTATCGTAACAGTATCGAGCGAGTTAAGCGTTCTGATTGGTTGGTTCACTAGAACCGGCCAATCAGAGCGCCGAACGCGCTCGATACTATTACGTTACGAATGCGATAGTTATTCGTGCTTGGCACTCTGAGCGCCGAACGCGTACTCGTTACTTTATACGTAAAACAAACTCGTAGTAAGGCCTCTGAACTGTGAGAAATATGACAAGAAAAAATTCAATTTCATGTCACGGTAATTTTAATACTTTATGATGATTACAAATGATAGAGGAGTATCGAACTCCTCTATCTTCCTCCTCTCCTCTTTTTATGGCGTAAGCCGGCAATCGAGTAGACTGATCACCTGATGGTAAGCAATCGGATTGAGAAGGTTACGCTTTGTCCATAAAAATATCAGATCTAAAATAAGAAACACAATACCTTACATACGTCTAATTTTCCACAGTATGAAAAGAAAATATTTCGTAAAATTTTGGACGTGTGTTTAATCTGTGAGGGGGTTTAAACTGCAATAGGTTTAATAACAACTTGGCCATCAGACACCTAATAAAAAATAACTCACGTTAATATCAGAAACTAATTATTTGTGCTATAGATTTTTTAATAATTAAGGCATACGTTAATAGTTTGCACGTACAACTTGCGGCCTAAAAGGAATATATATTCCAAGGCCGAGCATTGCTTCTTCAATTTATTCCTTTATGTCTTTTAAAACTATCGTTAATGTTAAAAGACATTGCACTTAAAAGCTTTCAGTTAAAGTACTTTTTTTATTGCTATAGTAGTACTTTTACTTTTACCAGCCTTACACTCTAGTGTTCAAATTTAAACGAAAAAGTTTTACATTTACACTACTTTATTTCTAGAAAAAAGACCTTTTATGAGGTAGTTGAAAGGTATTTTGCTTTTATATAAAGTTTACCTGCTCAATCAAACTTATAAAGAACTGTTACTTACTTTTATTGTGCAATAGCATTAACTTTGGTCCATACATAAATTCGATTTCGCACTCCGATTCAATTGAACTAGGATACAGATTTATAAGGGTATGAGAACCTCCTTAGAACTGAGTAATTTCATAAATTATTTAAAAACATTCGATCTTAAGTAGATGAGGGTAGGGTTAAAAATTGTAGGGCAATATTTTGTTCAGTCTACCGTTCCTTATTTTTTATGTATTGTGTAATAAGTGTTTTGGTTTTATATCGTAACAGGACGCACTTTTCGGAAGAGTAGCCAGAGATAGACGGTGACATTTGGCATCCACATTTCACCAGTTATTTTATTGGGTTAAAGTAAAAGAACGATACTATCTCTATACACCGATCATATTTCACACACACAAGGGACCATAGTGCCCCAGTTTTTTTATAAAACGAACAATCAGCCATATCCATCTGCGCAACGGCAGTTAGATATCTTTACAACAAATAAATAAAATACATAAACAGAGTGTCAAGCATGAATAACGATCGCATATGTAACGTAATAGTATCGAGCGCATTTGACGCTCTGATTGGCCGGCTCGAGTGAACCAACCAATCAGAATGCCAAACGCGCTCGTTACTATTACATTACGAATGCGATAGTTATTCGGTTATGCGTAGAGAAGATTTTTCTATATGCGGTATGAAAGTACCCTCAAGGATATTGGACCGTGTGGTACTATCCGAGAGCCCATACATCCCTGATTCGTACGTGCCTTTACCAAGAAGGCAGGTTTTAGTTCAATGTCAATTACAGTTAATGATGGTCTGAAAGCAAAATAAAAACTGGTGAAATTTCACCCCTACGTAGAAAGTTCGTAAAATCGTCGGCGTCCATTATCAAATGAAGGTCTATGGTGGATCATATATCAGAGCCAGAGGGAACGTTTGACAACAAAAGAGTGTGGTTTCACTGTAAACGACAAATATGGACACCAATAAAGTGCCTAGTTCTAAAGATTACTTAGAAAAAGATGATACAACAAAATAACTAAATTGGAGTAAATAGGTACCTACTTAGTAATAGGGCTTTGTGAATAATACAACTTGCTAAATCGAAGACATGATTTTAGTGTATATGTCTTATGTGGAAGATTAGGATACCTGCATTAACATTCTTATAAATTTAACGTGGTTTCTAAAACTATTAAGGTACTTTTATACGTGCTACTTTCAAATACGAAAGCATGCTTCACTTGTCACTTAGCAGCAAGTGTGTCGAAATGATGCTCAAAATTAGCATGCTATTGTCGAGCATGCTCAAAATTAGCGTGTTATTGTGGAGCATGCTTGCAATTACATGCTATGGCATGGCAGGTGCAATGTAATGTGTACCTCTGCCTACTCCTTCGGGAATAAAAGGTTATGTTATGATATTGTTTTTAAATTATAAAAGTGACATGTCATAAAAACTACCAATGCCTACTGGCATTGGTAGTTTTGTTTTTATTAATTATTTGCATTGCAGGACTCAATCCTGAAGGCATAGTTTTAATGCTAATGGACATTTTTTTTTATATGGAAATAATTATTAACATATGCTTTTTTCGCAGGTGATAAAAATGCTGGTTCTGGTGGTAGCACTCTTTGCTCTATGCTGGTTACCACTACAGAGCTACCTCTTATTGCAATCTTTCTTCCCGTCGATAAATGAGTAAGTATACTTCGTTCTAGATAAAGTTACATACACTAAATAAAAGACAGAAAAGTAGGTAACCTCAGTGAATTGTTTTGCGTCTAATTTTAAGAAAGTTTATATATCGTATCTAAATCATCATCAACATCAAGCCACTGCTGACCAAAGGCCTCTCGCTTGAAGAAGATTTGACAAATATAGAATAAAAAATATATACGACAGTCAAAATAATTGGCAGACGAACGCTATTACTGAAACAATTTAGTAGTATTATTTCAATGAAATCGATAACATTTTGATAGCATTCATTCACGAACACCAACCTTTCCTTTAATGAATTTTATTATCTGTCTGAGTGTGAACTGTAACACCAAATTGTATACCACAGGAACATAAATATAATATTCAAGTAATAAATATACAGAGAAAGAAAATAAGGAAGTTTCCCGCTGTAGATTTGGTTCCGTATTATTTACTCGACATCGGGAGATGGATGAAGACATCAGCAAACAAGACAAATACAAACTGATTATTAACTTTATGAGAATAAGTTCACCGTTAATTTAAATTTCGCTTCGCAGTGAATGAAACGTTTTGCTATTTGGAACCATGATGAGATTTGCAAATTAAATTGTATTATTTGCTGTGAATAAGCCATAAAGATTATATTTTCATAGCTTTCACATGCAGATACAAAATCAATATCTCATATAATACTATGTTCATTTCTGTTTGAACAGTAAAGTATTATAATATATTTTGATAACTACAATACATCAGGCACAATTTCAATTATGAAAGTTTGTTAAAATAAATGTTTAAATTGAACATTATTTCCAGTTAATAATTTTTCGATTTCGCCCTCAATAGTAAATTAATTGATTCAATATGTAACGAATACTAAATGCACTAAATTTCGACTTTCAGACGACTTTTACAAGTTTCAAATCAGTTATTTTATGGCAACATTTTATAATAAATTATAGATTTTATAAACACCGATAGAATATAATTTTAGTAGTAGACAATAGGTACGTAGAAATAATAAAGAATAGTTTTTTATTACAACGAACAAATCGAATATAAAGATAAAAAGGTAATTTTAATAAATTCTATGAGTCTTACCAGCTTGCAATTTACTAACTTATGAGAGTAAACGGTGTAAAAAGGTTTCTCATCCATTTCAAAAACATTTTCCTATTTTTGTAACTCCATTTTTTCGAAACCTGCACCTAAGTACAAACACCCTTGTGTGGAGGTTCATGTTAATACAGGACTATATATGATATACTAGAAGCTTAGATCATAGGCTAAAAATACATAGTTAAATTATACAATAGACAATATATAATGGTTTACATATTCGAGTACTGGGCCATTGTTATGACATCAGCATAATAATATGCTACTATTAGTATGATATTTCATGGTGTACTGTTGTCAGTTGATATTTTATAGAAGGTATTAGTTTCTTACAAAAATATTCTAATTAATAACTATTAGAAATAGAGAAATATTATAGATTGACAGTGAGAATATTATTCCTTTATACTAGCGGTCCATATGGGGTCTACATTTCAATATTTGTAGTGATATTATATTTTTTATTTCATACAAACCTTCTTATAAGCAGACACAATAAAAACGATTCTTATTTTCATTTAACAATACGTATTGAGAAATTGACAAGAATTTTCTTTTCAGGTACAAGTACATAAATGTGCTATTCTTTTGCTTCGACTGGTTAGCAATGAGTAACTCTTGTTACAACCCGTTCATCTACGCCATTTACAATGTGAGTATTAATAATAAACTAAATAAATTAAATAGTTTTCAAATTGATTCTAATTTACCTACATTAAACTCGATTAAATAGAAACCAAATAATCAAAAGCATAGCCCACACAATGACCCAAAACATCACATTTTTTGTGTAAATATTCCATTATTGCTAAAGCAGTTATTTACTTTCGTGATTCTAAAAGTTTTTCGTTATCGTTTTATGGAATCAGCAGTTATAGTTTGGGAACATTAATGTTCACCCTTTTTTGAATAGCACGCAATAACCGTGTTATGTTTGAACCACTGATTTTCCTTAGATACTGCGACACTTCTTTTCCCTCTCGAATAGATTCATCATATATGTACGGCGGTGTCCAACGCTGGTTTTTATAGGCTTTTTGAGCCGGGCCACACGCTGCCCTTTCAGCTTTATTCTCTAAGATTTCCCTAAAGAGACTTTCACAAGGAAGGGCGGAAAATTGTTTCTCTATATTATCTCAAAAACTGAAATTCAGCTCAGCGACCTTTGTGAACATTTATTATCATAAATCATCATAATTGTTTCGTAAATATTAGTGTTTATTGATAAATTGTTTTGATTACAGGAAAAGTTCAAGAAAGAATTTAAACAACGCTTCACATTCGGGAAAAAACCAAGTAGATTCGTAAACGATAGCTACGAGGTAAGATTTCCCTTAGTTAACTGAGTAGTAGAGACTTGAGGAGTATTTACTGTACCTGTTTTTATTAAAAAAACAATTCATTTTAGGATGGTCAGTCGTATAGAACACGGATATTATCGTTCCGGTCAACAAACGAGAGAAGTGGATACTCAACCAGAAAATCTATAAACTTGGCACCCACTGACACTTTGAAGGTTCCTTCCCGAAACTCATGTCACTGCATGAGTACACAGAATAGAGAAAATGGATTTAATTTTATGAAAACAGAAGACATGGAAGGACATGGAAATAGTAGAAGGTATTTAAATATACGAATGAGCAACACAGATATTGGCAAAAGAAGGTTAGCAAAGAAGCTCTCGGGCAGAGAAGAAATGCCAATAGGCGACGAAAGAGTCAGTGAACTGTATATATTCCCTAACAGTAACATTGTAGAATTCACAGACATATCATACGACGACAAAGTGTAAATACGTTAAAATTCCATTACGTTTAGTATTAAATAATCGAACATGTGATGTGATAGAATTAATAATAATGTTAAACTATGACTGTATGATAAGATAATGAAGTAAAAAATAATAATTTTAAGTCCTATTTTGTCGTTTTCTTTACCCGTCTTCAATAACTACAGGTACTCAATGATACAAAACACAACTATGAAACTAGCATTTGGACTAGTCACAAGACCCACAAGTAATCATGATACCTAAGTTCATTAGTGAAATAAAAATCTTGGCAGCAACTAATAACCGCTTGAATGCACCTATACAGACATGAGACACAATAGAAAATATATTGTGTCTCGCATGAATCCGCGTTTTAGACACACAAAAGGTCAAAAATAAGTGATCAACGTAGCATAGGTACAACGAAATTTGACTTTTTTTATGGGGTCAAACGGATCACCTGATCGTAAGCAATCGGCGTCGCCCATGGACACTCGAAACCCAGAGCATCCCAAAGGCGTTACAGGCCTTCTGAAGATTAGGAATTTGAGGATTGTTGGGGATTAAGAGATTGGGAAGATCGGAGGGAGGAAGGGGGCGAAACACAACGTAAGTCTTGTTTCGCGTTGGTTTTCGGTGAGGCCGTGGTATCACTCCGGTCGAGCCGGCCCATTCGTGCCGAAGCATGGCTCTCCCACACTTAATAAAACTTGACTACAACCTAGAACTAGAAGAAAATGTTTCGTCAATATTGAAATATATTAGTCATGTGGGATTTGAGGAAGAGTACAGCAATTCAAACTAGTAACAAGCTCCTGTACAAACAAGGTACCCTTATAATTTCATCATGCTTGTGTGACTTGCGTCCATCTTATACAGAACTTCAAATTTGTTTTCTAACAATTTCCGTCCATACAAACACCTTTAAAGGCAGTACCTACATATACCTACACTTGTTTGAAGTTCCATTCAGCTGTTTTATTTTAGACTTGCCTTCAATAAAAGTCCGATATGGGACATTATTTTCAATAAACTTCACTGCTACTTATTATATTTATGTATTATTGACAAAGATATGCATTGACAACCGACAAAACCATATTTCACTACCAACAACCAAATAGATACTAACTATCCTCGTATTGTGTGTATTCAGGTTTAGTATATTCGAGGAATTAATTAATGGCTACTTGCTCAATGGCTAAAACATTCTGTTGTAGAATTGACAAATATTTCTTGGAAAACAAATAAACGAACAATCCTACACACCATGACTATGAGATAATAATTCTAGTAATTATTCATTATCCACCAAACTTATTTTTACAGTTTCGTTCACCAATAAAACGGAATCACGTGGATGTTTCTCTGTGTGGGATATTTAACTATCGTTTATAAACAAACACTTTTTAATACGAGACTTCTAAGAACTAGCAAATGTAAAAGTAGTAAAAATTCCATTCGTTGTACGCAGTGGCGATAAACTTCGGAGCACGTAACTCTATTATGGTAGCAAAGAAACCAAAATAAAGATGTAAAACTTTAATACAAAGAGAATACAAGACACTGATCATCATCAATAATTTTATAGGAATTTATTCTTTAAAAACAGAGTGACTGGTCAAAATACTAAACGATTACAAAACAAACACTAATATTTCTACAGAATTTTACTCATCGAAAATGCAAGTTTTTAGTAGGATTGTTATGATTCTGTATGGGTCTGCGTTGGCCGCGGGACGTCGATCTTCGAAGTATCCCTTCTTATCCTCAGAGACGTGACGAGGTATTCTCACAGAACAACTCCTGTTAGCCACACCTGCAACGAAAATTACTTATGCTAATTACAATAGAACTTTCGCCCACGAACGTTTGTTCAACTATGACGCATGTTTGAGCGAAAACAGTTTAATTTTGGAAATGTATGAATTAAAGCTAGTATCAAATTAGAACAGTAGGTTTAGCTAAACTGGAGTAGTCTGATATCGTGGGTCTCCTTGTTCAAGGGATATTAAAAGTACCATTCCGCTTCAATCGCAAACAGTAAGTAAATAAATATAATGTACAGTACATTCTACATATGCATGTTCCTTGGCTGCGCTGCAACAGCTCTGCTCAAAGATAAAGTACCGAACCCCCGAATTCTAAAAGGTTACTAAATTTTAAGTTGTAGGTACTTAAATATCGTGTCTTCTCTGACATTTTACAAAGAATTTATAGAGACAGAACTATATATAAAAGCGTGTCTTAAATTTGAGTAGCGTTTGACTATTTGCACTTAAGTGAGACATATTTCAAGTGACATGTTTGAGCAGTAGTGAAAATTGACGAGCATAAACTTCCACTAGAATCTTCTAGGCAATATTTTAGCAAGAGTAACTTGGCTAAAACGTTAAAAAGCCCATCAAAATCAATTTAAATTGCATCAAGCTTTAAAGAAAATTTGATCAAAATAAGGTATACCTACATAAAATATAAAACTAAACTTCTTTTTAGAATACCATCATACAAAATGATTGATATACAAGCAATCAGTCAACAATATTATTCCACCTACGTACGATACACGCGAAACTTTAGCGTGTGGTGGCTTAAATAAAACTAACTAAAACTGCGTAGGAACCCAAACAAACAAGTTGTGTTGTTGATAACACGTGAACAAAATCACGTGAAAATTCTTCATGATTTGCTAGAACTCTGTATTTGCTTGTATCCCACATAAATGTGTGCCCAATAAACAAAGAACTCTGTATTGCATTTGCGTCCGACTTTTATTACTATTTGCATTTATTTTATTAAAAAAATATAATTAAGATCCTTACATCCGCAGAAGATATTTACTGTGTATACAGTCCAGATTAATACCATCTCTCAAAACAAACAAGCTCATTTTGTAAAAAAACTCATGCAAACGAATTTGATCTGTCAGAAGTTTACAGAGATATTATTTTTGCATTATAAGATAACCAACGTCATCTTGATCCCTTGAAAAGCTTATAAGCGTACGCAAAAAACATTTCGTGACCTTTGGCCTTAATATCTCGCAACGTTGCACACGCTGAAGTGATGTGGAGAGGGATACGGACTTTTTGGCGTTCAAACAACACTGGGCGTTGAACATACTTGTTTATAGATATATGTAAAGTCAGCAATTTATTTAGCAAGCAGCTAAGAAAATAAATAATTATTAAGTATTGAGACAGTAACTGTAGCAGTATTGTCATACTAAATACGGTAATTTCTTCAATTTTATTTTAACGTTCATCTGGTGGACTAATTTAAAACATTAGACACTTATTTTTGAAACTTACTTCTAGACAAAATTAAATACTTTTGACGATATATTAATTTTAAATATCGTGCGACGTCACGACCTCCCCACTCCTAAAACTAACTCCATTTTATTTAGGTATTGTAACTGTATACGAGAAAATAAAAAAAAATACGTGTATAATATTTTCATATTATTTAAATGAAGGACTAATTAGATTTTTTATTTCCATATTCTGGAAACTACCTTATTGTGTGTTTTATGACGAAGACTCTTGAAATAATAGATTGACTTAGTAGTCAACCAATGGTTGCTGTATCTACACTAAACTAATCTCCATTTTGTTATCTGCATAGCTATAACTTGGCTGACTGTACATAATATGACATAACTACCTTACTGAAATGTAGCTTACAGTCAGCCAAAATGTACGTTCAGAACAATGAATGATTTGACCGGTGTGAATATATTTATGCACTTTATTTTTGCCTTGTTGCTCGATTATTGAACAAGGGGTCCTACATTTAATTTCCGGGCCGGAAAAACCTTATTCAGGATTTTACGGTTTTTAGAAAATTATTCAGTAAAAGACCGGTACCCGAATTTGGGAACCATGTATGGCAATAGGCTTACCCCTTATTACATGGTACTCATAACATAACTGCTGAAAAGTTGACACATTGAATATTTATATATTTGAAACAAAACTTTATGCATGGGCAGAAGCTCATGTGTGGATTAAATGCCGTGGACATTTTCTACCAGTCTGACCCTTGGGTAATGCAGAGAAGAGTAACCAGCAGGTGCAAAGAGCATGTAATACATTAAACTATTGAAAAAAACTCGAACATGACACGAATAAGTGCACTAAAGGGGAGACATTGCACACAAACTATAGATATAGATTTTATTTGATCAGGTTTAAGTGGCAGTACTTGAATGGATATTGATACTTTTTAAAAGGTTTGTGTTACGTTACTTTATTTCTTACCATTTTACTACACATTTGTGGAACGGGTAAATATAGGTGTGAAGGCACTAGAGGAATTTGCAAGCGTATATTCCAATATCTACGCGTTGAAATTAATACGTTCTCGTTGGGATGTTTTAGATAACTGTTCATCAATAAAGAGACCGCATACATGGGATACAAATTCCTGTTTCGGTATGGATCTAGTCTGGTCAATGGATATTTGAGATGAAATGTTTAAGAGGTTGGTTAGGTTATAAATAATCCAACTAAGAATTTTTATATTAAAATAAATCCTGCATCCTGGTGAAAGACTACCTCGTTGGCCGAGTGGTCGCAAGTGCGACTGCTGGGCATGGGGTCTCATCTTCGATTCCCAGGTCGAGCAAAGAGTTAGTGGGTTTTTTTTTAATTTTCAGTAGTAGCACGGAGACTGGAATTGTGCCCAGTATATGGCAATAGGCTCACCTCCTATTACATGGGACTCATAACATAAATAGTCAATGGTGGGTGCACCTCTGCCTATCTTTACAGTTAAAAGGCGTGATGTTATGTTATAAGAAATTTTACTATTTTTATTTCATAAATGTGACAATTTCCAAGGATAATGTCTGTTCTCTTTCACGGAAAAACTATTTTAGAAATTTGAACGAATGGGCGACGCCTCTGAGAAAAGGTAGTATGTGCTTGTACACAAGTTCTATTTTTAAATTAAGTTTTATCCTAATTACAGATATCTATTTAAATACTTCGATAAACTCCAATTTTACTTAAAGACACAATTACTTTTGTATAATAAAATTTTCCTTCTCTCTTTATTTACTATCCAATTCATTTACTTGTATTAAATATAGACACGGACTAGTTAGTAAGTTAATTTCAGTATCACAAAATAGGAATCTAAATAAAACAATCAGATACAAGACGTTAATTAAAGGTCAACGTTGTAAATATGGACAAGATCAAAAGCGTTTGTGTGCCAAACTTAAATAAAACTTAGTAAATAATAGAATTAAAAATGTCAGGTAACTAGACAGGAATATAGTATTTGATTTTGCGAAAACATTAACGCATTCAGTGCCCATGACGCGTCTGTGCGTTTTGTGACACGACGCTATGTGCCCGGGACTCAAATATGCGTTCTATTCATTTGACCCTTTTTTTACCTGCTGCCCGTCGACGCGCCCGAGGGTCTATTGTTTCGAAACCCATATTTACACATATGTACTTCCTTATCTGATTTCTTTGATAAAGGTCATTACACACTTTGTACAAATTATAAAAAAACTTATTCTACTACTACCAATGCAATAATCAATAATTTTGTTCAGCCGTTTCGAAATATAAATATACTTAGAACAATTGAAAAAAGAAATATCCACGTAAGACTACGATCACCTTTGGTGGTATTTTTTTTCAATGTTATCTCGATCATCTCTTTTTTTTCCAAGAAACCTGAAATTTCACATAACACATACATACGCACAATAGAATCACATTAGTTTGCTGATAACGGCAATACAATGCACGGCGGTGCCTTAGAAGATTTTAAATACCACGAGAGCTAAAGCCAAAATCTACCTAGATACCTAATTGTTTTCCAAGAAACCTAATATTTCATATGACTCTTATCTACATACGCACAATAGAATCACATTAGTTTGCTGATAACGGCAATACAATGCACGGCGGTGCCTTTGAAGATTTTAAATACCATATCCACCAGGCGCTATAGCCAACTATCGAAATGTTTTAGGATAAACCTATACGAGATAATAAGTACCTTACTAAATATCTATGGTGAAAGACTATAATTTATATACTGGCATCGCGTCGTGACATACGTTTAAAAATCCAACATCAACCTCCTGTTTTTGAAGTAGGTTAATTAGTATACTAAACCCATCCCCTAAATGTAACAGAAGTTTTTCTGAAAACCGCATCAAAATCGGTTCAACCAATCGCGAGATAATCGCGTACAAACAAACATACAGGTCAAACTGAGAACCTCATTTTTTTTAAGTCGGTTAAAATACAACAATGTTCTAAATATAAACCTACTTACCAATTATAGAATTATTACGTTCATCCTTAGTTTATATTTAGATAAATTTTTCAATTTCACTACATAAAATAAATAATCTTATGGATTATAAATTCCATTACAGTGTGTCATGACCCTAACTTTTATCTACAGATACATAATATTCTATCGTATTTTCGTAAGTATATAACAAACGCACAGACGCGTCACGGGCACTCGCCGAGAGTCGAACGGACGCATATATGAGTTTCGGGCACACGGTGGGAGCCGTAAGAACGCGTATATGAGTTTCCGGCACACGAAAAGGGCAAACATTGAACGCAATAGTGCGTGCGGGGCACTGTAGGATGTCTTATAATTCGGGCACTGGAGAAAATCCACTGGGCAGTGAATGCGTTAATGAAGGTAAGAGGCGTTATTTTTAAAATAAATTAAATCGAAACACAAACCCGAAATTACGACCTCCACGGCATTTAGAGAAAGGGAAATAAATAAATGTAATACAGCAGAACAATACAATTTTATATGGGAATC